CTAAAATTGACGCTGCAGTGATCCATATGGCTAAGAAAACTACATTGCCTATTGACTCCATGGCATATCTCAGGGAGCCTATGGAGAAGCGTATGGATGGAGACCTGATTAAAGCCTACTTGGCCCTAGGGTCCGCCCTTCATCCGGCAGTAGCCCTGACACTCTCTCCAGAGCTTTGAAAGTGTGGCTCGCTAATCTGAAGGACGACATTGATCAGGGCGTCCGTAGGGAACATCTGTTGGAAAGCCTCAAGGACTTTAGTCTGGCCACGGAATTCTGTTCAGAGGCCTCCCTGGACATCACTCGCATGATTGCCAAAAGCATGGCCCTGTCTGTGGCTTCTAGAAGAGCCTTGTGGCTTCATTCGTGGGGTGCTGACTATGCTTCTAAGGCTTCCCTGTGTGCACTTCCGTTCCAAGGGGATCTCCTTTTTGGGAAAATTCTGGAAGATGCTATTCAAAAAGCTGCTGATGGGAAGAAGGCGTTTTTACCTCAAGCTGGCAGGAAGAGTTTTCCCTCCTCCTGGAAGACCAAGCGCTTCAAGGATCGGTCCTTTCGGGACAACAGGAGCTGTAAACCATGGAAATCCTATTCGCACTCATCTTCCAATAAGGCTTCCAGAGGAAGGGGTGCTAGAAACTCAGGGAAGAGCTTCTGAATGTCCCCAGGCCCGTTCGGGGACGGTGGGAGGAAGACTAAAATTCTTCTACCCCATATGGGCCAGCAATATTTCAGACCTATGGGTCACTTCCATCGTAAAAGAAGGTTACAGAATAGAATTCTCATTTTACCTGAAAAATGCATTTTTCAGAAAATCAAAGGTGCCGGTAGGCATCAAACGAAGGGACATGAGGTCCTGCATTTCTGTACTCCTGGAACAAAAAGTGGTGGAAGAAGTTCCAAAACGGGAAAGGTTCCGGGGAATTTACTCTACAGTCTTCTTGGCCCCAAAACCACAGGGAAAGTGGCGTCTCATCTTGAATTTGAAAGGCGTGAACTCCTTGCTCGACGTAAGGACGTTCAAAATGGAATCCTTGAGGACCATCTTGAAGTGTGTCAAAAAAGGAGACTGGATGACCTCAATAGACTTAAGGGAGGCCTACTATCATATCCCGATACATCAAGATCACGAACAGTTTCTCAGGTTTTGGGCGCTAGGAAGGCACTTCCAGTTCCGGGGACTACCGTTTGGCCTCAGCCTGGCTCCAAGAACGTTCTCGAAAGTTCTGGTCACCTTAATAGCCTTTATAAGGGAAAAGGGTATCGAGATATTCCATTATTTGGACGACATTCTTATCTTGGGTCCATCTCAAGGAATTGTAGCTCAGCATACGTCAGTGGCAATGTCCATTCTTCAAGACCATGGTTGGCTTCTGAACGTAGAAAAGAGCTCCCTCGTTCCTGCACAAACTATCACTTTCCTGGGTGCAGTGGTGAATACCGTGTCTGCACATGTGTTCCTGTCTCCAGAAAGGGTCACGAAGATCAGAGACAAAGTAAGGAAGCTGCAAGATCTCGAAACTGCACCTGCAAGAGAAGTCATGAGTCTCCTGGGTTCCTTGACATCAACAATAGGGTTGGTGAAGTGGGCCCAGTGGAAGTTCCGTCCGGCCCAGAACTTCTTCCTTCTCCAGTTCGACAGAGTGGAAGCAGATTGGGAATAGATGATATCTCTTCCCCTTCCCGTAAGGAAAGGCTTAAACTGGTGGAAGAGCGAGAGGAATTTGACAACAGGCTTCCCGTTGGAAGACCCCCCCTTGGAAGGTTATTACGACAGATGCCAATTCTTTTGGATGGGGTGCCTACTTCAGTTCTGTTTGGACTCAAGGGAAATGGACCCGAGAAGAGAGTCGCCTACACTCAAACTTAAGGGAACTGAGAGCGGTTTACAAGGCCATTTTGAGTTTCCTGCCAAGGGTAAGGAATTCTTGGGTTCTAATCAAGACAGACAACCAAGCGGTGGCCTCATATGTGAACAACCAAGGTGGCACGAGGAGCATGTTGCTCCTGGAAGAGCTGGCTCCCTTAATGGCTATAGCCATCTCCTATCTTCAAGGCCTGAAGGCGATTTATCTCCCAGGTTCGGAGAACGTGACGGCAGACTTCCTCAGCAGAAAGGAAATTCTTCCGGGAGAATGGCAACTTCACCCAGCGATCTTTGCAGAAATTGCACATCAGTGGGGAATGCCCCAGATCGACCTGATGACATCATCTCAGAATCACCAGGTGGAGAATTACTTCTCTCTCCACCCGGACTGTCAGGCACTGGGCCAGGATGCTCTCTCTCTGCCTTGGTCGTTCGATCTGGGTTATGCTTTCCCTCCCCTACCCATGATATCCAGGTTCCTGCGGAAGGTTTGGTCGGAAGGCAAGAAAGTCATTGCCATAATTCCAATTTGGCCTCGGAGGCCCCTATTGGCCATGATGAGCCAGGAACAACCTTGGCCTCTTCCAGTGAGGAAGGATCTGCTCACGCAGGGCCCTGTATTACATCCTCATCCGGAACGCCTCAAACTGGGGGTATGGGTCTTGAGAAAGAAAGACTCCAATTACTAGGTCTCTCGGAGGCAGTGATCAATACCCTTCTGCTCTCCAGGCTTACACTTTTTTCACAATTCACAATTTTTCCACTTCAAAAATTACCGGGAAACTGAGCAAGGGTTCTCCTGGCATTATAAGCAGTACAGTGTTCTTTGATCTCTTTTCTAGTTGTTCTAATCAACAACACAGATTTTCTATCTTGAAATCAAATCATCTTATCTCCTGGTTGATAAAGCACCAAGCTGTTTACCTACAGAAGACACATCCATCTTTCTGTATATTTAACCATTCACACCCTGTTCCTCCAAGATACTAGCAGAGTCAACCACCCTCTCTTAGTTACCCCATCACACATGCAGCTTTGCTTCTAGTTGCCCATGCAGTCATTGCACCTCCCTTCTAGATACTTACTAAGCCTCTCTCCCACAAGGTTACCTTCTCGTATTCTTATTTGGCCTGATTTGCATCCTGTCAGTAATATCAGCAGGTATGAATAATTTACTGTTTTTACTATAATCTCAACAGTTTTAAGATGAAAATGCAGAAGGTCACTTTGTGGGAGAGAGGCTTAGTAAGTAATCACTATCCCTATGCTATCCTCCAGTCCAGCCTCTCTTCCTGCTAGTCAACCATCCTAGTCAGTCACTCACCCTTGACTATAAAAACGCATCTATTCACTTAACAATGATCTCTCTCGATCAAAACCCATCCTGCTTCTCATCCATTTGGCCAACAGAGTTATTAATGTCAGGTATCAGTAGCCAGACAGAAGCCATTAGCAGCCCTAAAGGAGACATGTAAAGCAAATTGAAATTCCAATCAGTGAAGCAAAGGGGAATAATTTAGATCACAGATGACGCAATAAAAGTAATGAAACAAAACAAAAACACAAAAAGGAAAAAAAAAATCAAACACAGAAACAATAGCAAAACATGCATATGTGTAGAACTAAAGACAATGTGTGAGAGTCATTCCCATTATATCTGACTATTTAGGGAGAGATACGCATTAACATATCTATAGTAATGGAAAATAATCGTGGGTAAAGATCTAACTTTAAATGTTGTATCTGACAAATTATTATTCAAAAATGGTCACTGATGAATTATGAAACTTTCCACTAATTAATTATAATTAAATAAAACAATTGGTCCCCAAAATGCTTTTTTTTTACCAAGAGAGATGCAGAGATCCTCCTATAAGTGGATGTGAGCTGTTTTGCCTATCATTTCCTTTCCATGTGCTTTATGTAGAGAAACAGGGGTTTCAACATTTATTAAATCATTTTGTTAACCTGAGAACCACCCATAACAAAGAGGAGAGGCCTCCCTCCATTTATTCTGCAGGCAATATGTTAAAATATGTACATGTATGAACTGTGAAACTGTAGAATAGAAACTAAGATTACATATTGTAACGAGAATATACCCCAACACGCAGGATTCAGCTAAACAAAAGACAACACAGAGGAGAGATACATCTACCGGACCTCAGAATGGCCGGACTCGATGTATATGAGAGGAGACAGAGTCAGGAACGATCCGAAGTCAAGGGCACAGAGAGACAGCGTAAACTAGGACTAGCCGGGTCTGGTACACAGTAAACAGTAAGCCGGCAAACAGAACAGATAAGGATAAAGAGAAAACGTAGTCAGAAACAAAGCCAAAGTCAATACGAAGAAAACACAACTGAACACAATAAGCGCTAAAGGGAACTGAAAAAGAAACCACGATAGGGCAGGGAGTAAAAGGAGAGGTAAGTTTAAATATCTTCTAAATGAATGTGATTGGCTCCTGTCATATCCACACCCCCAAAAGGTAAGTGTATGGGGAGTGTGGCATGACAGGGGCCAATGGGAGCCTTTTGACAATTTAGGCTCCCACTGTCTTTTTAAGAGCGCGCCCGAGACTCGCGGCGCGCTCTTAGATGCAGGTGGGACACGTGACCGCTTCTCGCGGGCACTGCCCGCCTTCCTATTGAAGCCGTCGGATGAGCTGCGCGCGGCTCGTGCAGCAGCAGGACCGCGCGTGGCTCGAAGAGAGGACCGCGGCCGGCCCCTGGATAAGGTAAGTAACGCTACACATATGAGTTTATATATTTGATATATATTAAAATAACATTTATTTTTATTGTAATGATCAGTATTTTTGTAAAAGAGCCCTCACACACTTTATGTATTTCTGTATGTGGATGAGACACATGGCAGGCAATTCACTACAAAGCTGACACTTTTCCCCATGATGAATTTTCTTTAAACTCTCCCTTTCTTACTTTGTCCTATTTAACACTGCAGTCTCTCTCATGTGTGAGTTCTTGCACAGTGTGTTTTACTAATCAAGTTGATCATTCCAACTATTATAATGTCAGTTTGTTTCCGTAGCTAACAAAGTGATATCTCCTGCCTTTCATATTCTGTTCCGTATTATGTGTTACTGGAAATATTAGTTATTAGTCACTGACTGCAATATTTACGCATCCACGAGAGATCGCCAATGTTATCTTTCAAGTGCTTTTGCATTGGCTATCACTAATTTCCTACAGTTTGTTACAACCCACTTTTTTCTTTGACTATGAAATATTTTGGCTACACCTTACAACTAAGGCATGTAACATCTATTTTAACTGGATTTCTGCTTTATTTTCCTGGACCAGTATCAATCTGTTCTACGGCAATGCATTTCTTATTCGGCCTGATTTGCATCCTGTCAGTAATATCAGCAGGTATGAATAAGTCACTGTTTTTACTATCATCTCAACAGTCTTAAGACAGTAAGGGGGCAGTGTGTAGGAGGGTGACAGTGTGGGGGTGCATTGTGTGTGTGCTGATGACAGTGAGGGGAAGCATATTTTAACTCAATATGTCTGTATATGTGATATCTTGAAAAAGCCTACTCAGTAATTCTCCTATAGACTTAATAGGAAGCAGATCTTGGACACGGACACGGATTTGCTATTCAAGAGTGATTTTAATTTTGTTTTAAATATTTATTTTTTTTTTACATTTTTTTGTTATTATTATGATTGGCTCCTATGACTATGATGCACAAGAAATGGGTGATAACATTTTCTTTGAGAGTCCTGATAATCTCAGTTTTATTTATGGTATTATTATTATTATTCATTTTTTTCCCATTAGTATTTTGTATTATTTCTCCAATTTCCTATATAAGTTTTTTGTGATGTGGTAGGTTTTAAATTAACATCCTCAAGTTAACTTTTTACATTTAAGTTTTACATTTCCATTGTATGTCCAAGAAAGTTATTTGTGTTATTGTCTATAATTTTACATTGTGCATTGTACTTTCATAGTAATTAATCCATATTGTTTAGAATTGTTTATATAAAGTGATGCAGTAGTAGCCAGGCATAAAATATAATCGCCATTTCGTACCTCCTCTTACTTCGTGAACTCTGGGATGCGACAGAGCAGGAGGGTGTGCCATAGGACTACATTATCGTAACCTCCACTCTGACCCTAAATTATTTATATGATTGCTGCATTTCCTGGGCTGTAAGATGATTTTCTAAATTTAAGACTTTCTGAGGGTATTTAATTTTATCTTGCGCTCATTCAAGCTCTCAGCACCCATTGGTCAGTTGATCAACTTTCACAGTTTTTATACAATGTAATTATTATCTTGATCAGAACATATATATATGCCATCCTCCAAGATTGTTAATTTTACATACATGTTCTTTTTTGTTATCAACATATGCCTTCTTTTTTCTTGAGGGTCTAATCTAATTATAGTACAACAGAAGAACATCTACAGTCTTCTGCATACTATATCCAGATAATCTAGGGAATTTTATAATAATGTTAGACAAAAGACAAAGGCTGGTTAAGAAAGTAAAAAAAATAAAAAAATCATGAATTATTATTATTATTTTGTTAAATTCTGACTTTATAACATTATTTTCCATAGCATCATCTTCATAGATGTGTTGTTGAGGTGATATATAGACATATGCAATTTGTTTTATTCCGAATGTAAATTTGGATATATTTCATGCAATTGGGACATTCAGTTGCTTACGAATGTCCAAAATTCAAATTGCTGAATTTACAAACTGCTGAACTGCCGAAGTTCCAAATTGCCGAAGTTCCAAATTGCCAAAGTTCCGAATTGCAGAAGTTCCGAATTGCAGAAGTTCCGAATTGCAGAAGTTCTGAATTGCAGAAGTTCTTAAGTGGGTTAGGGTAAGGTGTAGGGGTAGAGGTAGGGTTAGGGTTTAGGGTTTAGGGTTAGGGTTTAGGGTTAGGGTTAGGGTTAGGAGTAGGGTAAGGGTCCAAATTACTGAAGTTCCGAATTGACGAAGTACCACATTTTCCGAAGTCTCGAATTTCGGAAGTGCCGAATTGAACCGAATGCCATATAGCAAACAATTAAAAGTTAATACAGATAATAATATAATATAGAATAACTAGATGGATCCTTTCATCTACCACTTTCAAGAGGTAGTAATGAAAAACCTATAGGTAAACAGCAGCTGAAATTGTTTCATAAACACCATAAACATTTTCTTTCTTACTTAAGTGATTAAGCTGCACAAGTTTTAAGAGAAATATAAACTAGTCCTACGAGGACAAATAGAACCATTTTAAGTGTTCCACACATTTAAATAGATACTGTAAATAGGAAACACTTACGGAATGTGGACTCACAAGGGTCAAAGGAAAATAATTTTTTTTATCATGATCATGAATCCTGATTGGCTGAGAGAACTCCTGGTTGTAGAAAACCAGAAAAAAAGATGTATTGAAGCCTGGTCATTTACTCTTTAAGAAGGCCATTAAAATGTGAGTATATTTAATGTCTTTAAGCATGTTAATTCATTTATTCAAAATGTACTATAAAGTGTCTTTTTATGTATGCAAAGGTCAGCACAGCATTTAAATGGTTTCAGTCAGGTGCAGGAACATGTGCAAACTGGTACAGAGAAAGTTAACATTGCTCTAGTAACAGTAAACAGTGGCATTGGCTGACTTTTTTAAGATAAGCCTGAAAGAACATTGCAGATTGACAAAATATTAACAGTTTTTACAGATAATTTCTGATTTATTTTTTTTTTAAGTGAAATGGTTACATGTTTGACAAGTAAAACCATAAATTAAAACATTAAACTAGAGTTTAACACATTTAATTAATTAAATCTACCCACTCTGGATTGTCTTAAGAAACAGAAATGTGTGGAAAGGTAAGTCTTCAGTGATAAGATATGTTACAGCATTCGACACCCAAAATTGTAAACAGATTGTGTAATCTATTAGGCAACATGAGTAAATATTCTAGGTGTGAAGTTGCGAACAATAAACAGTGGCATAGAGTGGTATGTTTAATATTTAACCTGCTTGTTAATATAACTAATCTGAACTTTTTTGGTATGGTTTCCATAATGGTTTTCCAATGCATTATTTCTTTCAATATTGTCTACATGTTTTTCTTTTGTTTCCTGCCTCAAGTTAAATGTGTCTTGGGTGAAAGACATTTGTTTCAATTATGGAAAAAATGAACAATGTGTAAATAAATTAAAACAAATATTTAAAAAATTACATCCACTTAATCCACTTAATAATCCTTTTTCTGCAATTCCTCTAGAAACAGTGAGCCAGACCCTCATCAGCCACATCCACAAAACGGCATGTAAGTAATTTCCACTTTAATGCATAAAATACAATATTAGTTTATTTGTATTATTGTGTTTTATACAATAAAGTGAAATTCTTAGATGGTACTAGTTAGGTTGGAGACAGTGGGAAATTAATGCCTAGATTATAACAGTGAAGTCTAGGATGGTAAAATAATATTTAGTGAAATTACATTTGATTGTAAATTTGCTAGTAACATAATGTACATTTTTATTGTCTGTAATGTTACACAAAGTAAGGAAAGGTGCTTTTTGATGTTTGTTATCTATAATGATATCCTTAAACACAGTTTTTTGCATGTTCAAAGACTTTGACCAGAAAATTCCATGTTTTAATCTATGATATTGATTGTGTTACGGGCTCCATCTAGGAAAGAACACAATATGATGCCATGTGTCATTTTGGCATCAGGATTAACGTGGATCAGCCCATCTTAAATCTATATTATGTTCAAAATGATGCAGTATTTCCACAACAGTATTTGCATAAGTTCTGGCAACACTCGAATGATAAGGGCCGATTGACCCTTATCTTCTCCTAATGAAACCTAGACCTGTGCCCTGCTGTTGTGGTCTCCAGCTACCTGAGAATGCATGTCTTACATTTATGGTTCTCTTGGTTATTGACTTTAGGTTTGTTGATATCTGTATTCGCACACTTGTATTTTTGATTCTCTACAATCCCTTGACCTCGATATATCCTTAATTATTCTGTTTATGCCACTGTGCAACAAGCCACCTCTAAGGACCTTAGTTACTCTACTAGACTAATTTCTTTGGCTAACCTAGTTTTGCATGTTGGGATTGTTTACATCTCTGACTGAGATTGAATTCAGAGTAGAGACTATATCTGGGCTTATTATTCACAAGATACAAATTTATTATCACAGGTTTTCTTCAATCATATTATGGGCACATTTGACTTGTAGAGATTTACACATTGTAAAGTAAGTAACAACTAAGTAAACAAACAAACAGATATACATTATTGTAAAATATACTTATTGAAAAATAATTTAGTACAAATCCCTACATAGAAAAATACAAGTATTTAACATTACATATTGAGGCAATGCTAGATTTATATATGTAGAAAGGCCATTAGGCCTGAATTTGTGGGAGGAGTAAGTCCCCTACTTAAGCTCCCAGCCCCTACTCACCGCTGCCGCTCAGCTGATTGTCCTTAGCAACCAGCACTTCCGGTCCAGCTTCCCGCCAGAACTGTACCTGTTTCCAGCAGCCAGACACCCTGTGCAATCCTCCGTCCGTCCGAGGTCCTTCCACTCCGTTTCCCTCCGGTCGAGGTACCCGACTTCCGGTCACGAGACCGGCGCGTTTACGTAAGCAAGGCGTGGGAATTAGCGTTCGCTATTTCCCCGCCGTTCGGGCCTAAAAACGTAGGGGTAGGCTCCCTCTTTCGCATTTTCACGAATACACGCTTTTCGTTAATATCTCCATTCGCGCCAAAAAACGCACGAACGTTCGGCTCATTTCGCTATCATTTATGCATTTTCATACGGAAACAACCGAATAAATATTTCATGTTTAAGCTCATTCTTATCTGTATTCACTTTTTCGTTCGGTTATTTCAGCACCAACCTATTCGTATGGTTAAATTCACGTACACCATCTTACTAATTTACATTCGGTTATTTCTATTCTTTTAAGCTAAGCTTGCATAAGTTCTAATCACAGTCCTACTATTATTTATTCCTTCATATGAGTTTGCGGTTACATTATATGGTTAACTACCAGCCCTGTGTTTTTCTACCTTGTTAAACCATTTAAAGTATTTTTCTATAATAAACATAATGTTCACCACGGTTCATAACTTCATACGTGTCTAAATTCAAGCTATACCATTCTTTCCTAATAACACTCAGATAAGTCTTTTTAAACACTATTTACAAGTTATACCCTTTACACATAATCCGTACTATTCCTTGCACATAAATCACGCTGTCACATCTTTTGGCTTTTACAGATTGCATCGGTCTCTTGCTTTTCTGCATTAAAGTTGTTATTTCAAGGTCCTTTTATTACAGGAACAGGTATGGTTTATTATCACCTTGAGTTATCAGGTTTTATCAATTATCTTCACATCTATTGCTAACTATGGAATTTGTCTTGGTTAAACCCTTAGATCCTGTATTAATCTAAGCTTCCACCGTTTCTACGCAGTTAACCTGCCACGATTAAACAATCTCTGTACTTTAAACAAAGGTATAGTTCACTCTCTTTTTAATACTAGACCTCACGCGGTCTCAACTCCATTACTACCTTCCCTCAGGCTTACGCCCAGGATACGTTATCTCTTTACTACTTGTCTACACAGACTTTCGGTCATACGGCCACCAGGCTCAAGAAGACACCAAAAACCTGACCCGGTACTCAGCCATACCTTCAGGTACTTACATCCTTACTCAAGTACGTCCATTCGCTACCCCAAGGCCTCATTCTGCCTTCTCACTCATATCCAAAATCATCCCATTCCTACACCTAAACCTCCCAGATCCCTCAATGCAGGATCTCACGTCGTGCCCCTAACAAACCTTCTCCCTATACTATTCATACGACATCACGATACGTATAAACACATCAACATCTGTCTTAAACCCCCAGGATTCTTCCTCAAAGACAACATTTAAGACAAGACTCTCTACACTTACCAGGAGGCTCCAGATACCATTTGCGACCAGTCAAGGTTAGTATCCACACACCATTCCAGTCCTCTAACTTTACCCTTTAGCATACTATCGAACTGGCTATACGGCACAGGCTAATGCCTTAGCCCACCCTATCAGGAAATCTGATCCCGCGAGGCCTACCACCCCCACCCCACCTCAACACGGAGGTACGGCCCCACGCCCAAATCATAGTTATAAGCCTCGCATGCCTTACTACAGGGCTCTAGTTAGGGCCTCACCTGTCACGGCCACACGTTTTGATTTCTCTTATCGTCACCGAGAGGCCAACATCCCGCCACCACGTCTGTGGCACCTACGTCATAAGCCAAATCATAGGTAGAGCCTCTCATCGCCACTTGGCATTAGCAGGGCCTCACCTATCCAGTCATTCAATAGTTAAGTTTTTCGCCTCGGCATCTAGCATTAAAGTCCAGTTCTTCAAGACACACCACTCCCCATACCCCCCCCCTTCTTACCTCACTCCCCTTCTAATATATCTTTCACATAATCATTCCTTTTTAGAATGTCCCAAGAACCAATTCCAACCGAAGAACTGACAGAAGAAGCACCATTCACGCCAATCAGACCCGTGTCTCCAGGCGAATCACTCACTCTTTCAACCCCCACGTCCTTGAGAGCATGGACTATTCCCAAAATCACAGCCGAGCTTAGGCTCAGGGGAATCCCCTTTCCGGCCACAGCTAGAAAGGCAGAACTTTACAGGCTGCTTACCCACCAAGTCCCCGAGCCTCGGCCGGGAACTAGCTCTCAAGGACAACCACCAAGTAACAGCACGGCCACCCAGGATACCCTGGCAGATATCTTGGCCAATCTACAGGCCCTCAATAGCAGGCTGTCTAAGGTGGAGAGCGCCATCTCCTCCTCAGGTACTAACACCGTAGTCCCAGTCTCTACCACGGCTGTACCTGCCATACCTTCATGTCCCTCTATACTCCCCCCTCCAGCACCTGGCACAGCCATCACACCTTTCGAGTCACCAGCACACTCCGTCCCAGATTCTATCAGGAAAGATATCCTTGACGGGAAGGATGTGTGTCTGGTGTCTTTACTCATAGCCTCTCAGGATGTACTCGAGAACAAGGCATACAATTATGGTGACATCTCTGTTGTGCTTAAAACGAGGGATCCCAGGCTTAATAAAAAATTGTCTATCCCACAGTTTGTGATAGCTTTCGGGATATACCGCGACGTCATTTGCACGGTGTATCCCCATAGGAGAGAAGAGCTAGATCTCTATCTCCACAAGGTAGTGGATCTAGGCATCAAGTACGGGGGCTCTTCCTTCTATGACTACCACAAGTCAGTCTCAGTGAAGGCGGCGACCCATCTCAAGCAGTTCAACATTAGAATGAACTGGGGTCAGATGGACACTGAACTTTTCTGTCGCCACTTCGCTGGACTCAGGCCCCCGGCTTGTGCCATCTGTAATTCTACATCCCACATGGCGGACTTATGTCCCGTCGAACCAGATCCCACCACCTCCACTCTCACCCCTCACCCCACGTTCACACCTCACTCCTCTTTCACCCCTCACAAGCCAGCGGGTGGTCTCCGGGATAAGCTGGGTAGGCCCATCTCCTTTTTAGGTAAAGCACAGGTGTGCAATAATTTCAACGCAGGCTCCTGCAGTTTCAGCGCCTGTAGATTATTGCACATCTGCTCCATATGTTTCAGGGCACATACCAAGACCATGTGTCCAGCCAGGTTGTCACCAAACAAATGACTAACCGACATTAAATATCGACAACCTGGTTTTTTATCTAAGGTGTCACCCCAGCAGGCACTTAGTGGATTTTCTCACCACAGGTTTCTCACAAGGGTTTCACACAGGCATAATAGCCATTCCCCCAGGTACACTAGAATGTCCTAATCTCCAGTCTGCACGTTTAGACCCAGTCGCTGTAGACACTCTCATTTCCGCAGAAACCACAAATGGTTTCATGATCGGTCCTTTCACCTCTTCACCGTTTTCCTCCTGGCGCACTAACCCTATTGGTATTGCTATTCACAAATATTCTAATAAAAACGTCTCATTATCGATTTATCGGCACCGCACTCCTCTTTTGTTCCAAGCATAAACGCACTCATTCCAGCAGACGAATTCTCTCTGCAGTACGTCACCATCGACGACGCCATACAGTCCATCATGACATCTGGTAATCGACCCTGGCTCAGCAAAACAGACATCACTAACGCCTTTAAATTACTGCCCATACACCCCTCACTCTGGCACTTACACGGTGTTAAATGGCGAGGGTATTATTACTTCTCAACACGACTCACTTTTGGTTCCCGAAGCAGCCCCAAACTTTTCGACATTTTCGCAGAGTCACTTTGCTGGCTGCTTCTGAACGTCATCAGGTGTCACTCAGTTATTCACTATCTAGATGACTTTCTACTGATAGAGCCAGGGTCATCAACACCCACAGCAATCTATAGTACTACTGCACTTTTTTCCACACTTGGAGTCCCTTTGTCCCCAACCAAAACTATAGGACCCACAACAAAGTTGACCTTTTTAGGCATAGAGCTCGATTCTGTCAAACTCAGAGCTAGCCTTCCACACGACAAACTTTCACGATTGAGAGGGGAGATAGACACGTTCCTGCGGAATGACGTTTGCACCAGGAGAGAACTTCAGTCCCTTCTTGGATCTCTGAACTTCGCCATGCGCATCATTCCGCAGGGAAGGTCTTTTATTTCCAGACTTCTTTGCCTGCTCCATGGAGTCCCGGACTCCGGCACAGTTTCTTTGGACCCCCACGCCAAGGCTGACTTGGCTATGTGGGGGAAGTTTTTGAAAGACTGGAATGGTATCTCCATGTTTATCCCCCCTCTCTCCACCTCTTCACCCATCATCCACACAGACGCAGCAGCCAACACCGGTTTCGCAGCCATTTTCGGGAACCACTGGTTTAGGGGCCACTGGCCCACTGAGACGGATGCCTTGCCAGGATTCAGGGAGACCTCAACCCTATTTGAAATTTACCCCATTGTGGCGGCCGCACACACCTGGGGTCATCTCTGGTCCGGCAAGGCAGTAAAATGCTACTCAGATAACTCGGCAGCTTGCGATATTATTAACAAAGGGCGCTCATCATCCCTGACCATCATGCGGCTGATTCGCAAGTTGACCTGGCTGGCAGCATCCAATCAGTTTCACTTAGTATGTTCTCACATCCCGGGTATTCACAACACCGCCGCTGACGCTCTTTCTCGTTCTCGATTCCAGGCATTTTCTCAGCAGCTCACCATCAGCCATCCAGGACACCACGGTTTCACGAACTAATATTGGATTAAGCACACTCTTGCTTCACGCTAGATCACTCACTCACCAAGCATTATCACCCAACACTGCTATCACTTACAATAGGGCACTTAACATATTTAACAAATTCACTGCAGAATTCGGGCTACAAGGTGACTTTTCTATCCAAACCATGGTGTCTTTTGCCTCTTTCTGCCACCTACACCTTAATCTGTCACACAACACCATTAAACTTTACCTCACCGGGGTTCAGCACCACAGCCTCACCAATTTTCCTAACAGCACCCCCTTTTTGTCTTCATACCCCATAAAAAAGGTCTTGAAAGGTATATCAAAGGTTTCACCACCACTCGCAAGCACTAGATTACCCATAGACGGGCCTATCTTCAGGTCTCTTAGCAATCTCCTTGACACAGCCCCATTTGATAGCTACACCAATACGGTGATAAAATCTGCCATATATCTCGCTTTCTACGGTTTTCTCAGACCTAGGGAGTTCACAGTGATTTGTCAAGGAGATATTGCACGATGCCCTAAAACTTCACACCTCACCAAGGTAGAGGATCACTACCTCCTTTCTATCCCTACCACTAAAACCAACCGGTCAATACATCCTACAATAATTCCTCTCTTCCCTACTGATAATGCCTGGTGTCCGGTGAAAGTTCTCGACCAACTACGGTCAACTTTTCGCACTCACCTGCCAGACTCTCCGCTCTTAACATTACAAGGGCACCCGCTTACCACGGCAAAATTGATGTCACATGTCAGAACCCTGTTATCTAAGCTCGGACACAATCCGGCTGCATTCTCCGGGCACTCCTTCCGCATAGGAGCCGCCTCAGCAGCCTCAAGCACAAACGCACCGGTACACATCATCAAAAGGCTCGGGCGATGGAAATCCTCCATATATAACGCATATATTCCGCAACCAGAGAAAGAGCTTCGCCAAGCTTTCAGAAACTTGGTCTTGTAAAATGCAATAAAGTGTGCATTTTCTCGAATTTATCTTTTTGCCCTCTTTTATTTACAGGCCCACTCGTACGTTGGTTTCGGCACACCACAACCAACTTTGCTCACAGTTACTATCCATCACGTATTTAAATTCCGAGCACAAATATATATATATCTATATATATATAAATATAGATAGATAGATAGATAGATAGATATTCAATACATTGATACACAAATACACACACCAGTCAAACCATAAGACTTGCTTTTCCCACAAAAATCTCCCTTTAACAGTACTCTCGCTACTGCAAGGGATTCTGGGTAGGTTTATACAAATGTTCTGATCAAAGAACCACATTTTTGACTCATAATTTCACTTTCTACTTGTATTCCTTGAAATATGTGTCTGCTGTATACAACAGCTTTGCAACACAGCTCCGACAGTTAAAGGGATATTTCTGTAGGAAAAGCAAGTCTTATGGATTAACTGGTGTGTGTATTTGTGTGTAGCAATGTATTAAAAAACCACTTACTTCAAGTGGAAGGGGTTTTCATTTACACTTTTTTCCTCACCACAACTTTTGTTGTGTATACATACACATACACCTATTCACATTTATATGCGTATATATAAATATATATATGTGTGTGTGTTTGTATGTATAAAGTGTGTATATACATGCATGCATGTATGTATATGTGAATAGGTGTATGTATACATATACATATATATGGGTCTATGTATGTGTAGGCACATTGGTATATGTGTAGGTACATGTATTGGTGCTTGTGTGTGGCTGTATGTGTAGGTGTGCATGTACATATATTTGAGCATTTGGTTGTATTTATATGCATATTGTTGTATGTACATATGTGTATACTTGTACATATACATTACTTTTGTATATGTATATGCACATGTGTGTGAGTATGTGTGTGGGTCTGTGTATGCTGGATATAGGCCTTCATGCATATCCTGTAACTCTTGGAAGTGAATTCATGCATTCTTAATATAAGTAATTATTTATTTATTTTTTCACTCCACCCTTCTAATACCATCTTCTGTACTGTTTGCTTGCTTTTTTTCTATCTCTCCCCCCTCACTCTGTGATCTTCACACAATATATTTATGACTCTGCAAGAATGGTGCCTATTTTCTATTAAACCTGTGTCTTATCTGCACTCATGATGCTTTAACCTCTGTATCACAACTCACCTTTGAATTCTATGTGTTGTCTTGCTCAGAAATGCTTTAGACTTGAGAAAGGCTCTCCCAAAAGCTTGTCATTAAAAAATTATGTTAACCCAGTCGCGCCAGCGCCCTCCATTGGCATACTCACGGTTTGAACATTTTCTTTCCCCTGTTTCATTCGTTTTCAATGTTCTGTTCGATGGCCTCTTGGTTCCTACCATCTAACGCTGCCTCCCCCATTCGGCTCATTTCATACAAATGAGTCGTTATTCGAACGGCTGCGGATGCACGTTTCATGGTGGGTAGATGGACGTGAAGGCTCTATTAACATATAGAACGTTCATGTCCTTCACTTATATTATTGTGGAGGGTTCGGGGGGAGGGGGGTTCGGTTCTTTTTGAAATTCAAATCTCGCCTAGGTTAACACAATTCAAATACGTTTGCACCTTTTCTCACAAATGCATGACAGATTACTCTCAACACGTTGCCATGGTTCTCGGTCCACGTGAACGGTTTGGGCAGTTTGGCTTGTGGCCCTCTAGTGGTCGCCAACTAATATGGCATTGGGTATCTATGTGCTTACTATTCAAAGGGTATAGAGACACTGGTATGTTACATAAGGAAACATGTTAATTATAATTGGCTATTAGATAATATTCCCTAAGGCTATTTTCTTTTAGATGGCAAGTTTAAGGTAATTTAAGGAATGCTACTTTACTTCCCAGCAGGGGCTGTTTATAGTTGGTTCCTTAATCATTTTCAGTGTTATATTTTTATTCTACATTACTTTTTATATATATATATATATATATATATATATATATATATATATATATATATATATATATATATGTGTTTTGGTTGCAGTCCATTACACTGTTACTATCGTAATCAGGTGGCATCATGCCTAACCGGTTTATTTGTTGCAACCAGGTCCCAAAGGATGGTATCTGCTTTTTGCTCTCGCCAATCCACTGTCTCATATCTTATGTTATGTTTTGCAGATTACAAGGTACCTGTTAGAGATACACTTGGCTCGTTTAACCCCTTAAGGACCAAACTTCTGGAATAAAAAGGAATCATGACATGTCACACATGTCATGTGTCCTTAAGTGGTTAAAGCCTCAACCTAATTTATAGGTGGGTAGCTTATGGTATTATACGTCAAATCCACTTGTTCATTCTATATAACAATATATATACCTTTTTATTTGGTTTAGGCCTTCCTTATTAGTTGGGATCCTTCAAGCACACCAGGTACGAGACTCCTGCTCCATTAGCCTATTTAACGATTAGGTTTACTGGCTGATAGGGAATTAGGTGGCCATTAGGTAATTCGATTTGGGCACTCTTTGCCTTAGTCTCAGTGGTCCCGCGAGGCCAACTCTCATCTTCCACATAGGAGGTAATACACCCACCAGACAAATCAAAGTTAGGGCCTCACCTGTCATGCCCTGTATACCTTCTGTTTAACAGTCACTGAGAGGGCAACACCCCACCACAATGTCTTGGTGGCCACGAAACCCCTCGCGCCAACGCTTAGGCAGTGCCTCTCAAGCCTCTGCGGCTGCAGCTCTGGCCCAGTACAATGCCAGGTCAGATTGGAGCCAACTGGATACAGAGCTATTCTTTACACACTTCGCTGGGCCAAGAACCCCAGCTTGTGCAATTTGCGCATCAACCGCACTTTCGGCTAACTCCAGTCCCATTTCACCTGACCCCACCCCTAACACGGCCATCCCGGGTACTACTAGGGTCGAGAAGCAGGGTAAGGATAAACTAGGCCACCAATTGTATACCTAGGCAAGTCACAAATGTGCAAACATTTTAATGACGTTTCGCGTGGTTATAATGCCTGTAATCTGTTGCATGTTTGCTCTCACTGTTTCGGGGCTCCTGCGAAAGCCATGTGCCAAAATAAAATGCATCAAAAGCCTTATTTGACCTTGGTTAATGTTGGTGTTCTGTCTCATCTGCTATCCACTCACCCTTCACGTGACCTGGTGTAGTTTTTGATAACCGGTTTCACTCAGGGTTACCACACGGGCCTTATTCACTTGCCAGCGGGTATTTTGGAGTGTAATAACCTGCAGTCAGCTTTGGCTGACATCGAGTCAGTAGAGGTGTTATTACATCAAGAACTGGAGCAGGGGTTTATATTAGGGCCTCTCAAAGTGCTGCTTTTTTCCAACCTAAGGACTAATCCTCTTGGCCTGCTCACTGGGAAAAACTCGGCTAAGCGGAGACTGATTATACATCTCTCGACACCACACTCCTCGTAGTCCCGAGCCTTAACTCACTAATACCTTCAGATGAGTTCTCACTGCAATACACCACTATTGACAATGCCATAGATGCTATTATGGTGGCTGGCATTGGGGCATGGCTTAGCAAGACCGACATTGTCAATGCCTTTAAATTATTACCCATACATCCATCATTGCGGCACTTGCATGGCATCAAATGGAGAGGCCTATATTGTTTTTTCACTAGGCTCACCTTCGGGTCGAAGAGAAGCCCAAGAGTTTTTGACACCTTTGCGAAAACCCTATGATGGCTCGTCCTAAATACGTGCAGATACCATACTGTCATCCATTATCTAGACAATTTCTTATTCATTGAAAGCAATTTCTCCTCCTCCTTCAGTTTGGTTAAAGCAGTCAAGATTTTCAATTCGCTAGGGATACCGGTCTCACCTAAGAAAACAGAGGGTCCCAACATCGTTATTAATTTCTTAGGGATACAACTAGATTTGGTGGTCATGAAAAAGCCAGTCTTCCTTTAGGGAAAAATCATGAGGATTGTTCACGACATCAATCATTACAGACATACCCGCACATGTAACCAGAATGAATAACATTCTCTGTTAGGCTCACTAAACTTCGCAATGAGAATCATCCCACAGGGTAGAGCATTCAGCTCCAGAATCTTAATCCTACTACCCACTTTCCCTGATGACATGTTTCTCTCGAACTGGAATGGAAGAAGCACGTTTCTCCCACAGGTATCTATACACTCCCTTGTCATTTGGACGGATGCAGCAGCCATTTTCGGTGACAAATGTCTGTGTGGTAGTTGGCCTGAGGAGGTACAATATATAAAGGGGTTTCCCAAGTGAGTAGCTAATTTAGCAGACAGTTGGCAGTTACAGTAGGACCTGCCAAAGATGGGGTACATTGACGTTGTGGCAGGTGTATGCAATGTATGTTCATATTATGTAACTAAATCCCCATTATTTGTTCTTAATAAAACTTACAAAATCAACACCAAAGTTGCTGTTTAGTAGATAGGGAGTGCGCTGGATTTTAACTTTTTACTGTATGTATTGGCCCCCAGCAGCACCTCATTTAAGCATGTTCCGGTGAGTGCAACCAACCCCTTGCTTTTTCATATATATATATATATATATATATATTTATATATATATATATATATATATATATATATATATATATATAATATCTCCAAAAATATACCTCTTGTAAAATGTAATTAAATTAGATAGATAGATAGATAGATAGATAGATAGACATTCTAGAATAAATACTGAAGCAGATAATATTGAGAAAAAAATTACCTGTAGTATATACACGCTACCAATTATTTTAAATAAATATCTTGGAGACTTTATACTGCTAGAACAGTGATGATTAACCTTGACATTCTATAACTTTGTAGACTACCTCTGGAAAATTGCTCACACAGAATTTAAGTGTAAATATCTTGATAATTATGCCTGGCAAAATCATTCTATTATTCTGTTGTAGGACATTCCTTTTCCTGTATAAGCTGTACCAACACAAGTGGTGATACTTGCAATGGATCTACAATCATCTGCCCATCATACTGTGACAGCTGTTCGTCAATCTACACAAAGACCAAACGTATGTTGACTAGATAGAGTTCTAAGAGTGACAGATGTTCTGAAAACAAGTAAATTATTGACGCAATTATTAAACAAAAATGTTTAGCTAAAAATAGGAAAAACATATATTAAAATAGTTATTAAAAAACTTTTTAAAATTTCTGAAATTGTATCTCACTGACCTTTTTGAGAGCTCTTTAAGGAAGTTGTCACCTTGCCCAGTCAAATTCCTGAAATAAATCCCTGTTGATTGTAGGCAATCTCATATATGCTAGTTGGAATCTAACTGGACTATGGAACAATTTTGGACAAGAGTCTCATGGAAGAACCACACTTATAGAATTGTTAACAAAGATAAAATAGAACAAAACAGTTCATAAAGCAACAATATTTTTATTTCATTCTCAAGTGGTTTAAGTAACCTTCTTTAATCAAATTTGATTAAAAGGTAAACTACAGTATTAGGAATGCAAACATGTATTCCTGACATTATAGTTCTGAAGTGGCTGTTTAGGTTTATTGCCCTCTCCTCCCCTGATCTCATTAAAAAAGGTGATTCTACTCACATTTGCTCCGACGCTGCACAGGTCTCTCTGCAGATAGCTGCGCCTCTCTCCACCTCAATGGTTGGGATCATCAATGTTGATGACAGAAAAAAATTGGAAGGCTATTGTGCGCCAAAACGCTTTGCTACACCAATCAACACTTCCTCATAGAGACACATTAAATAAATGCATCTCTATGGGGAACGTTCAGCAGAGCATGGAGATGCTGAGCAGCAGCAATGCAGTAAGAAGCACCTCTAGTGGCCGTCTTAGTGTCTGCCACGAGAAGTGTTACTAGGCACCAATGTAAACTTGAACTTTTCTCTGAAATGGCAGTGTTTACATTAAAAATCATGCAGGGACAGTCTATAGACACCAAAACCACTACATTAAGCTTTAAGTACAAGGTTCTGTAAATTACATAGAAACATAGAAACATAGAAACATAGAATGTGACGGCAGATAAGAACCATTCGGCCCATCTAGTCTGCCCAATTTTCTAAATACTTTCATTAGTCCCTAGTCTTATCTTATAGTTAGGATAGCCTTATGCCTATCCCACGCATGCTTAAACTCCTTTACTGTGTTAACCTCTACCACTTCAGCTGGAAGGCTATTCCATGCATCCACTACCCTCTCAGTAAAATAATACTTCCTGATATTATTTTTAAACCTTTGTCCCTCTAATTTAAGACTATGTCCTCTTGTTGTGGTAGTTTTTCTTCTTTTAAATATAGTCTCCTCCTTTACTGTGTTGATTCCCTTTATATATTTAAATGTTTCTATCATATCCCCCCTGTCTCGTCTTTCCTCCAAGTTATACATGTTAAGATCCTTTAACCTTTCCTGGTAAGTTTTATCCCGCAATCCATGAACCAGTTTAGTAGCCCTTCTCTGAACCCTCTCTAAGGTATCAATATCCTTCTGAAGATACGGTCTCCAGTACTGTGTACAATACTCCAAGTGAGGTCTCACCAGTGTTCTGTACAATGGCATGAGCACTTCCCTCTTTCTACTGCTAATACCTCTCCCTATACAACCAAGCATTCTGCTAGCATTTCCTGCTGCTCTATTACCTTGTCTGCCTACCTTTAAGTCATCAGAAATAATCACCCCTAAATCCCTTTCCTCAGTAGTTGAGGTTAGGACTCTATCAAATATTCTGTACTCTGTCCTTGGGTTTTTACGTCCAAGATGCATTATCTTGCACTTATCCACATTAAATGTCAGTTGCCACAATTCTGACCATTTTTCTAGTTTACCTAAATCATTTGTCATTTGGCTATTTAAGTTGCTAATCAATACATTAACTGATGATCATGTCAACTGTCATGTAAACGCTACAGAGTATTCATTAAGTCTGTAAATAAAAGCATATTTTTTTAATAAATATTTGCTGGAAAAATGAATCCAATAAGGTACACAACAATACCTCTCAAGATGAGTTTAAAATAATCCTTTTTTGTTTTAGTTCTAAAATATGGAATCACCGTAAACTCCTTAGTAAGGGGATGTGGGTATTCGGAGGAATGTGCGCAGCCCACAAGGAATGTCACCACCCAGATTATGTCTGAAGAAATTTTTACCAGCTGCTGCCAGGGTGACAATTGTACCCCTAGCCAACCCAAAGGTATGTGTTTTGAGGGAAAGGGCAAACATACTAATTAGCATGATGTTATGTACCACTTAAAAAAAAGCTGTAGAAAACCACATTTAGCCCATAAAGCCACACTTACACCCCCTTTGTTCTATCTATGGTTTTCACCATCAAAAGAAATATATGTCTCTGCTGTTGCCTTATTTAGTCTGTTTGTCTATACCTCTATAGGTAGATTGATGTTTACCGGCTTTACTCCCAAACTTTAGAGCAACGTATGTAGGACAACTTTTATGCTTTGTTCTAATAATTGGGGGATGAAATTTTTTTTGACCTTTTAGATTTATCTACTATTGTCAAACTTACCTTTACTTTGTGTCCGGGCTAAAATTTGCAATTTTCTTTAGTGCATACTTGTAATAACTTTTAAATAACATTAATCTGATTATTTTGTCTTTGGTATCTCAAAGCTCTATACATGTTTGACTAAAGGTATCTAGCCTGTATGAAATAAATCTCCTAGACTTTATGCAAGATCCTCCAAGTCACAAAGACTACACGACAGCAATACAGAACTACATTTCACTTTCCAATGGTTTATTATTATCTAACTACTGCTATAGATATCCTCTAAAATTCTATGGAGTTCTAATGACCAGCAATATATACAAAACACTATACAAAGATATAAAATATCACACACAGATGTACAGAGAGAGGGGGGTGAGAAAACAAAAAGAGAAGCATCTCATAGGGTTATATGTTAAAAACTTTAACATATAATTTATACATTAAATAGTTTTTCTCATCCCCTCTCTCTGTGTGAGATGTTATCTCTTTGTATAGTGTTTTGCATATATTGCTTACTGCTGCTCATTAGAACTCCATAAATATTCAGAGGATATCTACGGTAGTTAGATAGGCCAGTTCAATTTTTTTATTAATTACTTTCGATATATCAGTAAGATGTATTTTCCTATAAGGGTACTGCAACATTGTCTCTCTCACATTATTTATGCCACGGTTCTCACCGTGCCATCCAGACAGCCATACATGATTGCCCCACAGGAGATTTGAACATGAACCCATATGTATCCTAAGACATCTTCCCTGCCTCTGAGACACTTCTGGACTTCTGATTCTAGCCCTGTTTACCTGGCATTGCCTGCAGCACTGGGGGCTGGACTTCACCTGTGGTTGCTGTCTATCAATCCAAGTCCACCTGAGGCAGATTACTTGTTATCCACCTATATAACACTGTCTCTGAGTGAGTGTAGAGTCAGTTTGTTGTTCCATGTTTCCTGTTCCTGTTGCTTAAGACTGACTTGGCTTGTGACCCCTGCTTCTGGATCTTCGTTATTGCCTGTTCACTGCCTGCCCTGACCTTTTTGATACCGTGCCTGACTACTCTTTTGGATTTGCCCTGGTCTGTTTCCTTGTACCCGGTTACTATTTCTGCTTAAGCCCCCGTGCACAGATTCACAGCCCAGGTAGCTTCTTACCTTGTTACTGTGGGCTGTGTTTATCTGCAAGGGTGAGCATATATCTTTGCATTTCGGACTCCAACCAAGGTAAGCTGTGACAATGTATTAGTTTAGTAAAGAATACTACATTTAATGTTTTAAAAACATTTTTTTGTGTGTGTTTGCACTCCACCATTATTTTTTATAATGGTTTATTATTCTTATTCTTATTTTGCTTTGTTTATAAATTGCCAACACTTCTGCAGCACTCTCCATTGATACAGTTAGTACACGTAAAAAGAAAAGGGCACAACACATCTAACCGACAATACAAAATTTGACAAACAAATAACAGAGGAGTTGAGGAACCTCTTCCCATGGGAACGTACAAGCCAGATGGATAGGAGGGTTGAGAAACAGGAGGCAGGAATGGAAGGGTGAAATTAAATTTATACAAAGTGCCATGAAGCCATTTATTTTTAGGGAGTGTTTAAAGGAGGACAGATTAGGTGAAACAGTGACAGCATTGGGGAGTCTGCTCCATGGGGTTGATGCCGCATCAGAGAAGTCATGAGGCTTTTTCTCAATCTTCTGTCTTGCCTGTAGAATATAACTATCGTAAATCATACTGTATCATATACATTTGCTTTTCCTACTCAGTTCATCAGTTTTTGGAAATATTTGGATAAAATTGTAAGTTTTAGGATTAATCATTGCCAAATTCTGTCTCATTTAGGTGCTGCTCAAAATTCTCTCTCATGTATCAGTTGTAGAAACACGACCGGTGATACGTGCATTGGACCATCTATTATCTGCCCATCTGAAGCTGACAGCTGTGCATCTATCTACACCAGGACCAAAGGTAATGCTCAGATTTCAAAATAGAAAATGTTATGATCAGTATTTAAAACAACATGTTGTCATATCAAGAGGAGAAAAGTTAGAAATACTTAATCTGGTGAAATGATCATGGTTTTTATTTTTCTAAAGAATTATGACCTAATTTCCCTAATATAACATAATGATTAGGAAAATGTATTATTAAAGTTAATGAATAAAAGAAAATTATCAATGTCAATCAGTTATAGGAAAACAGTATACTATCAATGGCAAAGCATGTATGTTAGATTTTATACCTCCAGGTGGTGGCAGTATTTTGACATAATCTGGGAAACACTTGCAGCACGCATAGCACCAGTGCCCTCTTAATATCCAGAAAGAAGCCAGAGAAGCGGGGGGCCGGAGAGTGAATGTGACAACTTGGGGCAACGCACCCACACAAATGATAGCATCACACAACATAAGCCCACCTACTCTGAGGTTCACCAGGGGAATTGCCCCATTGCATCACCCACACAGGCGGAGACCCAATTGACTACCAGGACCTTCCGCAATTTCCAGAAAGGAAAGGGCTTGGACACTGAGTGTACCCTAGTCCATGGTTACAAGATGTGGCCCTCTGATCTGGCCTGGAGCTGGAGGGTTGGCACAGCTCACTCTGGTCTTACTGCTCACCCCAGTGACTACTCCATGACTGCCCACTGTCTCCCAAACCAGAGAATTGGCTAAAGCTGTGTCTACTACTCAGGACTGCAGGCCTAAACAAATCATGGGCTCCCACGCCATATGATATAGCTACCCTAAATTATTGTGTAGCGTCTGTTAAGCCTTGTTGTCTTATGTTACGTTTTCCATACATGCTTACTTAATGAGAGATACTCTCCTTTTTCTGAAGCATGAGCCAGTGGTGTTATTCAGTAGATTGTATAGCTTTGTCACTTAAATAATATACTTAATCTGTTCAGAATTACTCATGACTACAAGTTACCCACGGATCACAATAGTTATTGCTAAATGCTGAGACATGTAGGCTTTTCGTTGAATCCTGTTTATCCTTATTACCACAAAATGTGCAATGCTCTTGGTGTAACACAACTGTTAAACAATGTCAAATGATATGCTTGCACCAGCTGTTCTGGCAGTGCACTCTGGCTTGTCTAGCCTATGCACGAATAAAATAAAGAATAAAAAATAAAAAATCAATTTCCCACTAGCTATTGGCAAGTGAAATGTTAGCCTTGGCAGAAAGAAACACCCCCCAACCCCCTCTAGTAAGTGTGACAAGTAAACATTTTATGTATTGGAACAAGAGTTTAAAGTAAAATCGGTGTAAAATCCAAAATTCCGCACTAGTAGTGTCTAATTTCCCAATTCGTATAGGACACTTATACACAGTCTCCTTATTAAATGCAATCAGAAAAATTAAACATTCATAAATAAAATGTTAATATTTAATAGTTCTGCTAGAATCCTTTGCAGGTCATGGCTGAATTTGACAGAATCTGAGCAGACAATATATCCCTATCCACTTTTTTGTTTTTTTTGTCAATCTGGCCTTTCTATTCTTGAGGCTTATGAATGGTTTGCACCTTGTGGTGAACCCTCTGTGTTTGCTCTCATGAAGTCTTCTCTTTATGGTAGACTTGGATACTGATACTCCTACCTCCTGGAGAGTGCCCTGCACTTGGCTGGATTTTGTGAAAGGGCTTTTCTTTCCCATGGAAATGATTATCTACCACTGTTTTCCATGGATATCCAGGCCTTTGTGTGTAGTAGAGCTCACCAGTTAATTATCTGAATGTACTAAACTGTTGTTTGGCCACTCCTAATGTTTCAGGCCTAAGGATGGCCTGCTCCACTTGCATAGAGAGTTGTGGGTTCACAGCAACAGCTTCTAAAGGCATATGCCACACCCAGAATCAATTCCAAACCTGCTTAATTGATGAAGAAATAACAGATGAATAGTCCACACATGTCCATATAACAGCTTTTGAATCAATTGTCCAATTACTTTTGGTCCCTTGAAAAAGATATGGCTATATATTAAAGAGTTGTATGTTTCACTTGGTAAAGAGTTATATTTTCCATGGCCATTCATGCATTAATTCATATCACCCACCAACTGGCTGTGCAGCTGAACAATGTTTTGACAATTTTACTGCAGGTGAGACAAGTTGAGCCCCATTGTTTTCGTGCCATTCCTCCAAAATATCCATTAAAGGATTCAGTCAATGTGCACATGTACTGCCTGTTTTTGTGAACTTTTGGATGATTTTAAAATGGTTTTCTTATTTCAGTTCTAAAATATGAAGTGACAACAAACGTGGTAGTAAGAGGATGTGGGTACTCACTGGAATGTTCCCAGAGCTGGAAGAGTTTAAGTAACCAGTTTATGTCAGAAGAAATTGCTATCAGCTGCTGCCAGGGTGACAATTGTACCCCCAGCCAACCCAAATGTATGTATTTAAAAGGAGAGTGTGCACATTGTAATTAACAACAAATCAGATATTGTATCATTTGAAATACTTTACTTCAATCTAAACAGCCAATTCAAGTGGGCATTCTAAACAATTACTAGTCTAGAATGATGCCCTCTTCTAGATAAAGCATATTAACCTCATCATGGCATACTTAAATTGACAACTCTTCAAGGCATTTAATCCTTGTAATGACATATTTCATCATTATTTTGCTTTGTTTTAGTTTCAACAAACATTTTAGCTCCAAATGGACTAAAATGTCCAAACTGTTTTTCACTAACATCCAAATGTGAACCAGAGGACACCACCCAGTGCATGGGAGAAGAGAATAAATGTGTTTCATTTTTGAGCCGCTCCTTCTCTGGAGGTAACAAACATTCACATAACGGTAAATGTAATGGCCCCACTGTAGTCGTTATGGTGCCTTGGAGCTCTCCCGTGTAAGGCGTTAAACCATTTGGTGATGTTTTCACTCTTGGTCTGACTTGACTTATTTATTGGTTCTATGGAGAGATTTAAGACCCTGCCATGCATTGACAGCTCACTGGCTAAGAGCATCATCTGATTGGTTTAAATGTGAGAGTTTAGACCTGGCAAGCCCCAGGTAAGGGGTAAAACCATTAGCAAGCATTCTCATTAATTGAAATTTTGGGCCCCAGGAAACTCCTAGCACCATAACAACTAGAGTGTGCCTCTGGCATTCCTTTAACTTAACATTATATTGTATTAACCATACATGTGCATCATTACCCCAAATGAACTACATGTTGGTCCATATTGCACAATAAAATTCCATTTTTAAAATACCAAAGAACATTCCAACAGTTGTGTGAAAATGTCTTTCATTATACACAATCCTCTGAGCTTTGTCCAATTATATGATAAAAACGTTTGTTTTTTTTCAGAGCACATGACATCAATGATTTCTATGTCTGGTTGCGCAACTGAAAACTTCTGTACAAATTACAGTGGCAATGCTACAGAGAGTAGCACTGGAGAGAGGACAATAACTAGTATTTCATGCAAGAATGACACTACAAGTTCAGTCATTGGTAGCACAACAGTTAGCCAAGACCACGAAATGAAAAAAACTGTCGTGAGCACCACCGGTAAGCTTGACATGACCAAAAATACTGAAGCAGATAATAGCAATATTGAGAAAAGGTAACTTATTATTATTATTATTATTTTTATATATAATTATCTTGGACACTTCATATTGTAACTTTGCACCACAGCTTTGTGGACTGCCTCTTAAAATGTGTTCACACATAATTAAAGTGTAAATATTTTAGGAATTATGCTTTCCATAATCATCTTATTCTTCTGCTATAGGACATTCATTCTCATGTGTAAGCTGTACCAGCACAAGTGGTGATACTTGCAATGGATCTACAATTATCTGCCCACCATACTCTGACAGCTGTGCATCCATCTACACAAAGTCCAAATGTATGTTGAATAGATAGAGTTCTAAGAGTGACAGATTTACTATGTTATGAAAACAAGTACATTATGTACGTAATCATTAAACTAAAATGTTTATATAAAAGTAGAAAAAACATATCTTAAAGTAGTTATTAAAATACCTTTTTAAAATCAAGATTTCTGAAATTGTATCTCACTGACCTTTTTGGGAGCTCTTTAAGGAAGCCGTCCCCTTGCCCAGTCAAACTCCTGAAATAAATCCCTGTTAATTGTAGGCAATCTCATATATACTAGTTGGAATCTAACTGGACTATGGAACAATTTTGAGACAGCTAGTTTAATAGAAGAATCACATTTCTAGAATTGTCTACAAGAATAAAATAGAACAAAATAGTACATAAAGCAACACATTCTTGAAAAACCTTTTGCACTAAAGGGAAGTTGGCAGTATGTTCTCCAATGTATGGGCATCCTGTGGCAGCTGTCTGGCTTAAATGAGAAAAAGAATGTATGTAGCAATGATTGACCGATTATGATTTTCAGAAAATACACATTACCTGCAGTAGTTTTTTTCACTGAATATGAAATACATTCATTCTCCTCCCCTGTGCATTGGGTGATGCCCTCTGGGTGGCATGTCAGCATTTGTGAAAAACAAGTTGGGCACATTTTCCCATTTGGAAGTGAAGTGTTTGTTAAAACTGAAAAATAAAGATCAAAATAAAAGAAACAAAAATAAAGTTAATACTGTTGCTTACATAGATCAAACTTTGTATGAATGCAGTGACATTTTATTTCCCAAATTTAAAAGGCACCCAGACCACTTTATCTCATTGAAGTGGTCTGGGTACAATGTCCCTTAACCCTACAGTGGTAATTTTTGCAGTTTTCGAGAAACTGCAATATTTACCTCTGAGGGTTAACTCCACCTCTTGTGGAGCTGAGCCAGTCCCTAACTCACAACAGCCTCAGCCACTACTCTGGAAACCAGGGAAGGACCCGTCAAGGTTGGAAATGGGAGGTAGGTTTAAAAGTGTAAATTGTGCATATGTGTGTTTTTCAGTATGTATGTCTGTGGATGTTTCTGTTTGTGTTTCAGTATATGTGTATCATTATGTCTGCCAGTGTATGTGTCAGCACATCTGACAGGGTTTGTGTCTGTGTGTCTCTGTATGCCTGTCTGTGTCTCTGTCTGTCAATGTACCTGTCAGTGAATGTATGTCTGTCAGTGTGTATGTTTGTTTAAGTATGTCTTGCACCCAGCTACTTTAGTTCCCCCCCACTGCGTTAGGGTGAAATGAGTGATCCCATGCCAGGACTTGGGTGTTGGTGGGGGAGGCAGGGTCTAGGGGGCCCAAGAAAGTGATTTTACCAGGGTCCTATTAATATTATAGATGGCTCTGAAGCCTTTCCCCGTCCTGCAGAGCTCAGCCTGCATGGAGCCCTCACTGGGTGAAGATGGATTATTTTTGGGGTACATGTTTTTTTTTTCTATTGTGAGGGGGGGTCTTTTTTTAAAAATTTTTTATTATTAGTTTGACAGGCTTTATGATTTTTTATTTGCTTTTTTGGGGCTTAAAGATTTTTAGAAAATTCTTCTAATGGTAAGTATTACGCTACTAGTCTGTTCACTATTGTTGGGCTGAGAGGAGTAGGAAGGCTTTATTTTTACTAATAGTCCCCAATCCATCGCCAATGGGTGGGGGCTGTGGGGGACAATAGATCCCCCCCCCCCCTTTGTCACTTAGGGCCTTCACCAGCCACTAATGCGTTGGGACTGGAATGGGAGACAATAGGCCCCCCTTATCACTTAGGGTCTTCACCTGCCACTAATGTGTGTGGACTGGAAGAGCAGTAGGTCCCCCCCCCTTTAGTCCCTTAGGGCCCCACCCATTGATAAGTGGAGGATGGGGGGGTAGACAGTAGTTTCCCCCATTATCATTTAGGAGCCCCATCCACTGCTAATAAATCGAGGCTGGGGTGAGTCAATGGGTCGTCGTCGTCGCCCCCCCCCCCCCCTTTTTTTTATTTTTCTTTATTACAGGCAGGTGGGGGTCCCAAGTACAAAAAGACCCTCCATTTTGTCACTTAAGACACAACCTGCCTGTAATGGGCTGAATAAATGCCTAAACTTTATCCTAAAGTGAAAGGACAAACTGTTCACATTCTGTTCACATTCTCTTTGGTCAATTCACCATCGCTCTAGTCTAAATGACAGGGGTTCGGAAATGTTGAATGAAGCATTGCGAGATCACGGAGGAGTGAGTATTATGGGAGAGATTTCTCTGACTCAGGAAATGGAGCTGACTTAAGCTCATCTTTCGGTCAAAGAAAGTCAAACTTAGGAAAAATACATACTACAATGTAGTCCCTACATGATCTTATATTTTAAAGAAAACTAGATCAGAAGAAAAGGAGAACCGATTCTGAGAGGAAGAGGAAACGATAGGAGAAATTTTGGCGTGACAGTGCCGCTTGTGTTAAATTGTTTCTGCACCATTCTACTAAAATATAAATAAAGTGATTGTCAGTCAATGTGTACAGGTACTTATTTTTGGATGATTTTAAAATGTATTTCTTATTTCAGTTCTAAAATATGGAGTGGCAACAAACGTGGTAGTAAGAGGATGTGGATACTCATCAGAATGTGCTCAGAGCTGGAAGAGATTAAGCAACCAGTTTATGTCAGAAGAAATTGCTATCAGCTGCTGCCAGGGTGACAATTGTACCCCTAACCAACCTAAAAGTAAGTCTTCAGAAAAAACAAGGCACACTTAATAATCAGCATAGAAGAAATGAATCTTTCATTGAAACCATATGTTGACTGACGACCATGGTGATAGGGCATGATTCAGGAGGACTGATAAACAATAACATGGAAATATATAGGATTGACCATATGCCCTAGATTTCCATTCACTATTACTATAATCCCTCTTCTAGTAAACTGTTTGTTTTATATCAAAAAAAGATAAAATAATGAAAATACTTGCAATACTAAGGCCTCAGTTTTATAATTTTGGATAAGCTTTACAAATGATTTAATATTTTTATAATTAAAAAATATATATATAAATAAAAATACATATAAAAATATTTTTTTTCAATATCCAATCATGTTAAAGGTTAATCCAAAAATATTAGAACATTTGATAAAGCTTATCCTCGAATATTAAATGAAGGTCTTATTTAGTTCAGAACTTTTGATTTTTCAGCTTTTTTTAAATAGGTTTCATTTGGGAAATAAAATGTCACTGCATTCATACAAAAAGTTTGATCAATGTAAGCAACAGAAAAAACTTTATTTTTCTCTCTTTTATTTTGATGTTCTTCTTTATTTTTCAGTTTTAACAAACACTTCAGTTCCAAATGGGAAAATGTGCCCAACTTGTTTTTCACAAACGCTGACATGCCACCCAGAGGGCATCACCCAATGCACAGGGGAGGAGAATGAATGTATTTCATATTCAGTGAAAAAAACTACTGCAGGTAATGTGTATTTTCTGAAAATCATAATCGGTCAATCATTGCTACATACATTCTTTTTCTCATTTAAGCCAGACCGCTGCCACCGAGTGCCCATATACTGGAGAACATACTGCCAACTTCCCTTTAGTGCAAAAGGTTTTTCAAGAATGTGACATCAACAATATCAAGGGGACCTCCTACTGATCATATACAGATGTATATGGAGGAATCACAAGCATAACTAGAATAAAAATATATACAGTATATTAACAACAAATTCAAATATTCCCTTTTTTTTTTATGCATTGCTATAACATTCTGACTGTACATTTACAACAGTACTATGTTTAGTATAATATCAAGATGTGATAAATTTAAAGGAATACTAAAACACCCGGACCACTTCATCAAAATAAAGTGATAAGGGTGAAGTGACCCTGTCCATTTAACCCTGCAATGTAAAACATTGCAGTTTTGTTCAACTGGCACTAGAGGTGCTTCCACTGCACTGACTGTGTAAAACTTTCTACCATGATGTTGCATCTACTAGGAAAGCATTGAAATAGGAATTTGGATGCTTACATGGCATTCGCCATGCTTGGGCTCCTCTAAAAAAAAAAAAATATTCGATTGGCTATCATCTCCCTCCTACAAGGGAGTCTCAGTGCTGGAGTAACTGTTCTAGTTTTTAAGTAGAAATGGGGAAACATGAAACAAGTCTGCATATATAGCGTTAGGGCTATAGCGTTTAGAATACGGGTTTGTGTTCTTAAACATAATGCTACTCTAAAATTAACTGTTTGTATTTCTTCCAGGGCAAACAAGCTTGCAATTCTCTGCATTTGGTTGTTCAACTGAAAACTTCTGTTCTAACTATATTTCTATTTCTACATCAAATACAAGTGGGGAAACAGGAATATATACATCATGCGGTAGCGTCAAGACTACTAACATTACCGGTCATCACAACAATGGAAATAAAATGACTCATGTTAGCATTTTTGTTCTACTGATAGGTTTTCTGATACAATAGATCTACTATTAAATGGTAGCACTATTCCGAACAATGATAAAACTAGCAAGAAGACAAAAGGTTTAAAAATGATACAGGTCAAATCCAGGATAAATATGAACAAAACTTCTATTTTGTAATGTTAACCCTTTTTATCATTATTATTGTAGTAGAATATGCAGAATAATTAAAAATATTTAATATAGCACTAGATCTGATTTACAATATTCATAAATGGATCACACCTGCATCTGTGTGTCTGTGTCAAATAACAATGATATGAAAGTGCACTCTATTTTATTTAAGGGTTCAATGACTCTGGCTCCGCCTTCCTGGATAAATATCGGAAAATAATCAAAAAAAGAGATGATTGTGAACAACAATAACAAAGTGCAATGTGCTGAACAGCATCACCTAGTACAATTTATGCAAGACAATGGAAAGCGCATAATATATCTGTATAAATACAAGTTATCAATATCCAAAAATGAGAAATAAAGTGTATATTGCAATTGCATATTAAACTAAGACAACATAGACAGATTTTAAATGTTATTATTTATCCTTTTCAGATTGTATGTATTTTAATAAGAAATGTTTAAACACCAGTAAATTAGAGGTAGATAATTTGGGAAATGCATTAATATCTTCTTTATATTATTACTTTTGATTTGTAAATTGGGCATAAAGATAATTTTAAGTAGATAAAGAAGAAAAAAAACTGCATGCACGGATAAGCCACAGGATTCAGGCATTCTAATTTCCCCTGTATAAAATATACAAAGGTAGATGTACAGCAATATAAAAACAAGAGACCAAAATAGTGTGATATGTTTAAACCACTTAAATTAAGATAAATTCAAAGTTAATCCAAATATGGAAAAAGGCTCATCGAATAGCATCCTTTTCTTCCTGTCTTTCCTGTTGGATAATATCTTCATACATGTATAGACAAGGAATAAAAATAGCCATAGTGCAACGCTGTAAAGTAAAATGAATTCACTGCTTTATTAAGTTAAACTTACAAGATGTAAGAGTTAACAAGGCCCATCATCATCACTATAAATAGAAAGCACTCAATAAATTATATAAAATAACACATAATATGGGTAAAATTTTAACAACTTTTTTGTTATGTATAAATTATGAATTATACTTAGATATTGCTCTTTTTCTCCTAATCTACATTAAATTATCATTTTATTTCATTTGTGCAATAAGAACAATAGCTAATTTATATTATAGGCGGGAACCATCTATGGAATGCAGGAGTGTTCCACAAGGTGGAAATCGGGTTCAGGTAATGACGTCGGTGGAACGCACATGCGTTACATGACATGACACAAACCCGGAAATTGAGCCAAAATCATCCTTGGAACAAAATCAAAGTAGGAAAATTGTAACAGCTGGACACCTAAATTCAGAATTGGAAGAGAGAAGTCGCATGAGAGACTCTATGGGTTTTATAAGGGAGTGGGTTGTAGTGTTTATTGTATCCTGCATGTATTTGGATTCCTCTTAAGGAAGTCTTATTAAGATGTGATGCATTAATTCCTGTTTAACGCTTACATCTTATAAGTTTAACTTAATAAAGCAGTGAATTCATTTTACTTTACAGTGTTGCACTATGGCTATTTTTTTAATTCCTTTTCCATACATGTATGAAGATATTATCCAACAGTACAGACTGGAAGAAAAGGATAATATTTGATGAGCCTTTTTCCATATTTGGATTTGTGAGTTTAACCTTGAATTTATCGTAAAGGACCACTATAGGCACCCAGACCACTTCAGCTTAATGAAGTGGTCTGTGTGCCAGGTCCATCTAGGGTTAATTGTGCCTGTTGTAAACATAGCAGTTCAGAGAAACTGCTATGTTTGCATATGGGTTAATCCAGCAACTAGTGGCTGTCTCATTGACAGCCACTAGAGGTACTTCCGCGCTTCTCACTGTGAGTTTCACAGAGAGAAAACGCCAACGTCCAGAGGAAAGCATTGAGAATGCTTTCCTATGGACTGACTGAATGCGCGTGTGGCCAATGACGTCCGAAGGAGGAGGAGAGTCCCCAGCGCCGAGGGAGCACGGCGTTGGAGAAAGGTAAGTGATTTAACCCCTTCCTCTCCCTTCAGCCAGGCGGGAGGGAGGCCATGAGGGTGTGGGGGCTATTATACTATAGTGCCAGGAAAACAAGTTTGTTTTCCTGGCACTATAGTGGTCCTTTAATTTAAGTGGTTTAAACACTATTTTGGTCTCCTGTTTTTATATTGATGGGTAATTTACTTTTTTTTCACATTTATGTGTGTTTTCACTTGCACAGGGGAAGTGTTGAACTATTTATTACAATGATTTCCCTGTAACATCCTAATCAAAAAAGACAACTAAATTAATATTAATATTAATAATTATATTCAAAAACGAATTATTCAAATGTATAAAAATGGTTCCAATACTCCAAGTTCTCTAACCCAAGGAAATGGAATAGATGTAGAATCTATAAATCTATGTACTTAACCATTAGTTAAATTGCTACTCTACACTGAAATCTTCCAGGACATGTAGATGTGAGTGCAATACTATAGCACAAATAAAAATTATAGGAGGATGTTTAAACCCCTTGACAATCATCACATACATACACACATACATATATATATGCACCAGACAGTGTATTCTAAATAAAAAATAACATTTATTATATTCAAAAATTAAAATCAATGAATACATACAAAGTGCTTATATCGTCGTCCAAAATGCGTTTCGCCGATTCCGTTGAATTTCTCAATTGAGAATAAAATAAATGTTATTTTTTATTTGGAATACACTGTCTGGTGGAACATCTATCCTGTTAAAAGAAGAGCAGTGTCACCCTAAACAAAGACTCATACACATGTACACTTAGAGCCAGGTTATAGGCTCTTAATAAGGTGAGAAGCAACCTGTATCTTTATTATTGTACAATATCTTATTGAAGATTTCCGCACCAGGGCAAGTTTCCCTGTTTCTCTCTCTTTTTTCTCTCCATGTTATTGAGGTCATCACTGAATATGGATTCATAGGGTGTGTGTCACCCAGAGTACACAAGAGCGCAAGTGATTAGAGCCAATCCTCATTAGGCTCTAAACCACGTGAGTGCTTTTCATTAGGAGTTAATAATCCCATTGGGCATTACTGTACTAAACCATGTACCTTTTATTTTTCCCTACAGTAGTCTCTATAACCTCAATGTCCCCAAACTTTTGGGAGTAAGTTGTTACTATTTTTCAGCGCTACCCTTTTCACTATTGTCATTTGGTTGTATAATAGTGTTTTCTTTTTGCACTAATTATAGTAGGATTGGGGAGTTCCTATTTATGTGTGGAAGCTGCTATACTTGAGAGCACCTCTATTTCTATTTAAGTGCCTTATCACACAGAACACTTTATTTGTATGTGTAATTTATTAGTTATCAGGATGTGATGAAAGACAACTCCATGTTTAAATGTTTAATCAAACCCTTTTTTTATTATTATTTTTGCGGGGCTTATATTTCCCTATTGTCCATTTGTCATTTGGTTCCTGTGCATTTTATTAGCTAAAAACCTCTGAAAATAGATTAAAACTGACAGTGAATTAACTTTGGGGCAGGTTCTCCACAATCCACTCGGCTTTTTTTATCCCTAGGGAGGGAGGGTTGCATCAAGAGAAGGTGGCACGAGGGGAGATCTCAAGTTTCAAATGTATATCAAGAGGAGGGCTAAATTTAATATTGTAATGTAAAAGAGGGACAGATAGAAGGCTTCACACTGTAGGCATGCTGACAAGTGATTATTGTGTCGCCAGCGTGCAGTGCGTGCTGACAGAAGATTTCGTTTTTGCACAAAATTTACATGAGGCAGTCTAGAACAGAGTTCCGGACTGCCTAAGTCATATGTGCTAGTGCTGCAACTGGACCTCGGAACAAAAGTGCAGATTATTGTGTATAAGTAGCATTTCAAGATGAGCACTTCTAAAAGCAGTCCTGGTCATAGGGGTTGGAGTAATCCATTACTAGACAAACTTTTAATATTGGATAGCAAGCTAGCTTGTCTTTTGGATTCTTACAACATCTTGTACTGGGTCTAGTTCTCAGCCAATAAGGGTTAGTAGATCCTAAAAATTTTAAAGAGTCTTGGAACTCAGTCTATAAATTCAGTGCGTCTTTGACCCTGGATTTCATTTCTAAGCTGTTTTTTACTGGCAAGAAGAATCTGATTGGAACATTTTAAATGCTGCCTTTTAGGAAAGTCGAGAAAGGATAACAAGAGAGGGAGGGATCAATAAAGGACACTAATAGGAATCATTCATAGCATAGGTGTATCTGGGTTTTTTTTTCAAATAAAAATTGGTTATTTTTTTATACATTTACAATAAAATAGTGTCTTTGATTGTTTTGTTTGTCATTTATACAGTTTTGTTTTTTTTATTATTATTTCCCTTATTACTCTGTATTTGATCTGAGTAAAACAACAATAAACTGTTCCATTATTTGGACTGAGATAATATGCTTCTGTTGTGTTTTTATTTAATTTACAATGCGATTTAAACATTTTTTTATCATACAGATGTTGTGCCCTATATTGTTACTGTTATTTATTTTTAAATAACGTGCTGTATGCTACCATTAGCAATACTAAATTAATTATAATATAGCAGCAGATAATTAGAAAGTTTTATTTTCCTGATATTTGCAGCAGGGTTAGATTTGGAATTTGTAAATGTAAGTATGTTTTATAAGGAAAGTAGGTAAATTCTTAAAATCTCCCATTACTCGTCACTAAACAATTTACACAGTTTAGTTGTGTTCATTTTAATATGTTAACAGAACAAAAATGTATATTCTAGAGCACAAATCATATTTTGTTATCTCAGTCCGATATGGCTCTAATGGACCAATCAAGTGCAGATAACAGTAACTAAAAAAAAATTCAATTGTTCGGTAGGTTTTAGTTCAATTTAGTTCAGGCATAAATGTTAACTAGTTATAACAGCACCCGATGCAGTACATATATTATTATTAATTATTAGCTTATTGTTTTACTTACCTTCACTCCGGTGCCACCATTCTCACAAGTCAGTGGGTATTACTACACCATAACAGTTGTACTTTAACAGGAAAGCAGGAGAACCACTCAGAAGAGGGATCTTCTGCTCTTCCCTGTCACTCAATCCTGGCTTAGACATCTATGTTGCTGGCATAGACAAATCAGAGCTGAAGATGAATAAACAGATAGGGAAGGGACTATATTTATACAGTGCATTAATCAAAACACTATACTTTGGCTAGTATGGAGTATAAATGAAATGAACATTCTTTAATAGAAGTCTAAATTGAGTGTACTACAGCAGTTACACTTCAGGATCCTAGTTCTAATAGACTTAATCCTAGTTAGTATAGTGCCCAGTAGAAAGAATTTATTTGAAAGTAGGATGATGCCAGTAATGAAGGAATTCACCTGCAACAACATAAATAATGGGTTTCAATTAAATTATGTTGAACTATATCACATTTGTTTTTAACAAAAATGTTGGTGTTGTTCCCCTTCTCCATGCCAAGCACAAATAACTATTTATCGCTATTTAGTATTTAGGGTATGCATCTATTGTAATCCTAAGGGACTTCAATTATTAGACTCTGTTGTTGTATGTTTTCAGTGTTGGCAAAATGTTACACCAACATTACATTTACTATTGTCTGCATCTAATCAGCAATGCTCACAGAACAACTCTCACAGAGATGCACATAACTCCTGATAAGAATCTAAGATTGGCATGTGAGAATGTGTACCTAGACACGCTTGATACAGCAATCACAATCAGGGCCGGCGCTACCTGTAAGGCGGACTAGGCAGCCGCCTAGGGCGCCCCTTGGGAGGGGGCGCCGCCAGGAGCGCCGGCCCCGCTCATCCTGCAGCCGCCCGAGCGCTCTGTAAAGAGCCTCAGGCGGCTGCAGCTTTGCCCGGGCGGTGCGTCCATGAGGGCGGACCGCACCGCCCGGGCGCAGCATGGGGAGAGGCTGACAGGAGGGAGCGCTCAGCGCTCCCACCTGTCAGCTCCCTCTCTGTACCGTGGCCGAGCCCTCTATGGCATGGTCCGACCGGTACAGGGAGCAGCTGTCTCCTGTACCCGGCCGGACTAACAGGAAGTGAACACTGAGTGTTCACTTCCTTTTAGTCCGGCCGGGTACAGGAAACAAAAGCAACCTGTACCCGCGGACCAATAGAGGGCTCGGCCACGGTACAATAGAGGTAGGGAGGGTGGGGGGGAATAAATGGACGGG